GAACAACAGGTTGCGAAGCTGCTGGCCACGTCTTTGGCTGGCATCGCGGTTTATTGTTGGATGAAACTACGGCGGGGCCGCTGCAGGGTGCGGTTCGTACCGGTCGCTGGGCGTCGCTGAAGTAYAGTGCAGCAGCGTGTTGAGCTTCGTATCTTTAGGCTGCTGCGACATCCTGCAGCCGCACGCAAAGTGCTACGTATATGAAACCCTACCAAGGCTGCTGGGTTACTTGTGTTCATACTACTGTACAGTGGCGATTGGCCTAAGGGGGGGTGCTGGGACTTAGAGGAGTAGTCAGACTGTGAAGGGGGTTATCGCTGCGACTCGAGGCTTGTCAGTATACCGGTTGCCGGCAGTTTGRCTTCAGTTGACCAGCAGCTGTGTGATTTGGCCATCATTGCGGGGCCCTCAGGCGCATCCAGATTCCAAGGCCCTCTCACAGCGAGTTGAGTTGTCCCTCCCTTGGATCTCGGGAGGCTGAACTTCCTACTTCTATCTTCCTTACTCTCAGTCTAGTCTAAGGTTATGAGAGGAAGGCGGCAGGCGGGATTGCAACCCGTAGGTCCGCATCAAGACCTTGTGGGAGGTCCACCCACYGATTGCGGGAGCTCTGCCGGAACCCAGGCGGGGTTCTGGAGGCAGGGAACTTCAGGTATATTTTCGTTCACCTGTGTGATCCCTTCCCCTAACCTTTATCCTTGGGCTACTTGAACACAACTATATGAGGTTATTACTTCAGCCGAATCTTACTTTTGTTATGTATGTCAGGACATGCATTGTGGAAAGCTAAATGAACAAGTATGTATAAGTGCTCAGATAAGCTTGARTGGAGTCAGAAAGAATGAATTGGGGGAAGGTGGGAGACAGGTGTATTGCATGCTTTGACCAGGGTCAACCCAAGGCTGAGCTCCTCTAAGTTGATGTGGGCTCAGTRCTGTGTTTTGTTTAGGGTTGCTGGGCTGCTTGTATGGGTTTGAGGGTTGGRCCTATCCTAAGTTGGACGGACCAGACGCTGCTTTTTTTGGGTTTCTGAACAGGAGGATGGGCACCCTAAGTTGGGAGGTCCCAAAATCCTGGGGTTTTTTATGGGTTGCTGAAAACAGGACTGGGGACACTCTAAGTTGCGTGGACTCAGCTCTGTGTGTGTTTTTTTCTGAGGAGGGACACAWGCATGAGGCTGAGCGTACCCTTAAGTTAGGGCGGCTCAATCAGAAGCCATGAATATAATGGTCAACCCAAGTATACAATTTTGATATATATTACGAACCTATATCACCTGGCAGACCGGRCACCCTAAGCTGGGAAAGTCAGTCATTAAGTCAGGTAGAACAAGAARAGGAGGAAAGACRTGAAGAATATAACGAAGGTAACCTGGGCAGGCTGAGCGTACCCTTAAGTTAGGGCGGCACGGTCCTATGCTCGTAATAAGTCAAAGGATCAGCGAGTTAGTATAAATTTGTTTTATTTTCCCTTCTAAACACAAGGCAGGGTYGGATGTCTCCCTAAGTTGGGTAGRTYTGATCCTCTGCCTAATAAGAGAGAAACACATATAGTCTGTGCATGTATCAATGGTGGTTTTCATATGATTGTCGTTAYGGAGGCTAAGCGTACCCTTAAGTYAGGGCGGCTTGGTCATACGTCGTTGTACCTTGTTCAGGCAGATTCTGTCTTATGTAACTATAACTGTTTAAGCCAGCTAGGCGTACCCTTAAGTTAGGGCGGCCTGGTGATAGGCTCTTGTCGTTGATGTGATGTAGGTTGGACGTACCCTTAAGTTA